TTTGGCTGCATGGATGTCTGTGCATCATATGAGTGCCTGGTGCCCATAGTGGTCAGAAGAGAGGACGGGGATCTCCTGGAAGAAGAATTGTAGATGGTTGTGAGCTGTTTTGTAGGTGCTGGGAATCAAACCCCAGGTTCTCGGGAGAAGCAACCAATGCTGCACTCCACACACAAATGTTCTTGCTTACTTAAGATTACTTACTTGGGTACCAACTTCTTGACCTTGTCCCAGTTACTAAAAATGAAACCCAAGGTGGTAACATTCAAACAGTCAGGTTATATGGATGTAAAGTTTACTCCTGAGAGAGAGAATGTAGGGAACCTTTCTCTCTATAACACCCTGGGGAAGTAGCTTTGTCACTGGCCTGTTTGGCCTTGCATTCTGTAAAAGGAGACTGGATTGGACAGTTAAGAATGCTCAAGAAAGGATGCTGAAATACAGCTTCTGTGCAAGTGTCCTCAGACTCTTTTCTTAGGGGAAAGCAACAGAATGAGGAAAGATAAATAAGTAAATAAACAAATAAATAAATTTCAGTTGATTTCTGTAATTGGGGCATGATTATAGTTCAAAACTCCCAAGGGGTGTCTAAAAACGAAGAGAGTACCGAGTCTCATACATAGTATGTTTGTATCTTATGTTTACATAACTATAAAATTTAAATTAAAAATATGTCACAGCAAGCGTCTAACAATTATAACCCATAGTAAATATAATTATAACCATATTCTGTACCAAAATCCACTTAAAACTTATTAATTAGTTATTTTTGGAATTTTCTATCTAACGTCTTTGCACTTGCCTCAGTGAAAATTTTGGAAAGCTAAGCTATGAATACGCTAAACTATAGGCTATTTGTTATTTTGACAGCCAACCTATAAAGGAAGCCGAGTAGGCACTGCATGGGATAAGAAATGAATAAACACCATTGAAAAGGTATGAATTACCTTTAAGAATGTATTGTAAAAGACAAGCAATTGAGATGTTGATCAGATCTGAATATTTCTTTCAATTCTACCTTCGTGCTTATGTTGTTAGAGGAGAAATTCTATTATCCAATGTCTAAAGCCATAGTTTGATACATTGCTGATAATACATCTCGGAAACAAATGGGCTTATTACCAAATGCTCATTTATCTTTCAGACTTAAAACCCTATTATAATAAATCACACTACTTCCTCAGTCTTACCTCAAAGACACAACAAGGAATGTTTAGTTTATATTCTGATAAAAGCGCTGCATCTGACAAGCATTCGGGTTTTAATTAATTTAATTGTGGAAAGAAAGCTCAGAAGGAAACATGGTACTTGAAAATCTAACCTTCCCACGGTGTAACGAAGAAACCTTTTGGACATTATATATTTAATGACTTTTGGACTTAACCCCCTGTCTGTATGAAAAAAAAAATGTTCAGAACAAACATGTACTCTTCATTTCTCCTCTCACCTTTCATCTGGGTACGTTTTATTTATGCACTAGACGAACTTTTGGCCATTAGAACCATCTTGCTCCAGCAGTTAATTAGCACAAGTACCATAATTTAATACAGTTAATGCTACTTGATGCCCTTTAATGTACCTTCCATTAGTGATATTATTGTAGTATTACCCTGTAAATTAAAATGAGATCAAGACTAAGAGAGTGGCTCTTTAATTAAGGTACTGGCACACTGCACTTCTCTATTATTCACTGGAGAAAATCACCCTGATTTACTGAAGCAGGACAGCCATAAGTCAGAATTAGCCCAGGAAGATTATTAGGTTTATTGAACAATGTAAGTGCCATGGAGTTACTGAGATGGCCAATAGCATTGCTTCCTCTTTTTTTCCTCCATTATCTTGATAAATACTCAAGCGGTAAATGAAAGCAAAATAAACACGTAGCAAAGGAGAAATGCATTTTATGATAATATTAAAGGTTTTGTTATCAGTTCAATGGATACTGGATATATATATCCCATGTTAAAAAAGCCTAAGCTAGTGGTTCTCAACCTTCCTAATGCTGCGATCCTTTACTATAGTTCCTCATGATGTGGTGACCCCCAGCCATAAAATTATTTCGCTGCTACTTCATATCTGTAATTTTGCTGCTGTTATGAATCATAATGTAGATATCTGGTATCCAGGATGTCTGATACATGAAACCCGGTGGGGATTGCAACCCATAGATTGAAAACCAACGGCCTAAATGATTCGTTAATCTGATGACAGTCAAAACATTGCTTTTAGGTTAAATAAAATAGTCATTATAAAATCTACATATGTATATTTACATTATATCTTCAACTATTTCCATTTCATAGTTTAATAGTTCAAGATAGAAACATATACTTTCTGTTGATGGTATTGCAAATATTTATAGCTGGTCTTCATACAAAATTTATATAATGACTTATATAAATTCCCACATTTTGCTTGGATGGTATTGGAAGTGACAACAGAAAAATGGCACTATTATTTCTGGAAAAAGACACGTATATAAGATTCTAGGTTTGTGTGACCAGGGGATGGAAAAACAAACTACAGGAAACTATGCCCTTTCTTATGTTTTGGAAAATTTAGAACTTCCTAATAAAAAAATCATCAACTAATAGGCAATCTTTCTATAGATGACCTGTTGTTTAGAGGAAAGACAACCAAGGACATGAATCCTGAAGTCTTCAATGGATAAAATTATCAGTTTCTAGGCTGAGAGGCCTAATGCTCCACGGTTGCTCAGCTTTCTGTTTTGTGGCTCCATCGTGAACAAATATTCCTTACATAACTTGAAAGCCAGAGACACACAGGAGCCATCAGGCCCCGCTTCTTTAGTCCCTCCCCCAGGACTAAAAATACTCCAGCCATCTGGTGCCTAGTGCAGTACATGCCAGCATCGGTTTGCCCTGAAGAATTTGGACATAGCGGAGGTGACGGAGCAGCACCGTATGGGCTTACCTCACCTCCACTGGCCCTTTTGCTTTTGCCCAGCTGCTTCTTGCTAGCTTGCAGCTGACTGGTGAACTGGAATGACAGGGGAGGTGAGACTCAAGAGGTTTGGTGGAATCTGGGTCCTGCTAACTCCTCGGAGCCAATGACAAGCAGCCGGAGGTCATTGCCAAGGTGAGGTTTAGCAGTAAGGTGAGAGGTCCATAGGGATTAGATGTTCTTGGCAGGCCATCTTTAGGAGAGGGCCTGTCTAACTCCAATGGAGCATGCATACAGCTCTCCTTAGCTCGAAAATGTGGTTTATACTTTCTTTCAAAGAATCAGAGAGGAGAGAAATGAATTTCCCATAGCAAAACTAATCTCCAGCAGTGGATATTTCATAACTGAAACCCTCCAAAAGGTTGCCTTTCTGACAGAGCGAGATCACAGTTTTTGGGGTGCAGTGGTCTACAGAAACTCAAGTTCAGGTTAAGGAGTACTGAAACTGCCAGAAACTGACCTACCTGAATTCAGTGTTACCAAACCACACAAATCTCAGGCTATTCATTTAGAGTTTTATTCTTTCAGCCATATTGAATATTTGTCATTTGATGTTGGTATGCTGTTGTTAAAAATATCAAATATTTTCATATAATACATGCACTTGAGATTGGATAAGATAACATTTTAAACTTAAAGTCTTTTACTAAGATGTTCCTTAACATAATGGGTCATTTTGGTACCCATGCTCAAGTCTGATAAGACAACTTCCTACTGCCCATTCATAGACTCCTGCTAATCTGTAAACACTTCTTAAAACACTAGGGCTCCCAAGATCAGTGTGGCTATCCATATACTAGAGCACAAATCCCTCAAAAATACTAATTTGCTGGCAAGATGTTGTCAGCATCTGTCACTAAGACCTTGGTTAGAAGTTGACAATAAGGTCTGTAGCTAAAGATTCTTTACTGGTCATGAGGAACACAAGAGGAAGCAGAGGATATAGCTGCAATTTCATGCTGTCTTTCCATTGTGAACATCCCGAAACCTTAGATGCCACCGTAAGCCGGAAAGCTTTACGGCCTTTCTTACTCTCACTATGACCCCCATCCTCATAGCTGCAAACACCTTTTTACTCATATGTGACAGACAACTCTCTGAAGGGCCAGAGTTCCAGCACCTCCAATTTCTGAGGATTGGGCAGACTCAAAGGAATCTGAAAGCCAGCCTATTGAGTGAATCCTGATTTATCTGTCTAAATCTATGCTTATCAAGATCAATATGCCAAATTTACCATTATACACTTTATACAGGTATCCTCATATATTCTCAGATATAAAAATGTTTATCTCTTTATATTTTCTTTTTCTTCCTGCCCACTATCTCATGCTTCTACTCTCACCATGCCTGGATGAATAAAAGTCTCTCGTGTTCGTAGTTTTTGTTCTCATTACCGGAGTTTTCACTCATACATCTTCAAAATTCTTTATAATCAATTGTAGTTTGGTATACTATTAAAACAAGGTATCCCTGATCATCACCACTGATGTTACAACTCTTGTCCATCTGCCCTTGGCCTACCAAGTGAAGAGTCCCCAACCCATATTTTACATGTGGAATATTGTTTCATACAAAGGGTTCAAGACCTCTAAAAGAGGAAGCTTACCACTCTTGAAGAAATGCATTTTACGTCTCAGGTGCTTTTTGTTCTGACGGTGTAAGGGATCATTGCAGGGTGATTCTTGCTTGCATTGGGAAATAAAAGACAGATCCTTATTTCTCCCTTCCCCTCTAACAGAGCAAGCAGCCTCACTATGTTGGCTTTAGCCTCACCTTACCAGGGAATATTGAGCTTCAGGTAAGATACTTATGTTTTCTTTTGTTTGAATTCTAAAGACTCTTGAAGAGTGATAGCCAGTGTGGGTTTGTATATCATTGCTGAGCCAAAAGGTTTCAGACTGCTTTAGAACCTCCTTGCGTATTGGTGGCCCTCAGAAAATAAAGAAATAAAAATTGACTAATGTCATCAATCCTGGACATATTTTTTTTTTGGACACACAGTTATTTCCATTCAAGATGGGCAGGGGTTCTCTTACCTTCCTCGCACCTTTATGTCTGAGATGGCATAAAAGTAACGTGCCAAATGCAGCTCATCTACAAATATTTCCCCAACGGCGGGTCTCAAGAGCCTGATCCTCAGGTCCGTGACTGTGAAGAAATCTCTGAGTTTCTTGGTTGTATCCAGCTGTCCATAGAGGGAGGCCATATTTCGCAGCCGAGGTCCAGCGAAAAACGCAAACCTGTCTTTGATCTCGAAATGAATAATTTTGCTGTTTGTGGAGTACCCGGTGGAGTACTCCTCTGTGCAAATGATCTCTAACACGGACTGCTGGGACAAATCCTTCACGGACTTCGGGTCCATGTGAAAAGCATCGAGGCAGTCTGTGGCGTAATACTGATAGGGCTGCCATGTTCGCCCATAATCGAGAGATTTCTCCAGGATCATTTGGTCTGGACGCCCCGATTCGAAGGTAATAACTATGTTGTCTGTGAGCTCAATGGTTTTGCTCCAAGACAGCGTGATGTTAACCTGGAGAGGTTTGGGGTATTCCTTCCAAGTAGCAGACTGCCAAAATGTAGAGGGATGTCGTCCTTCAAAATCAAACATGAGCTCAGGAGGGTGTGCCAGTTCAGGGGTACTTGCGTCACACTCGTTATTGCACATGTAAGGGTTGCCCTACGGAAGAAGAATAAAGGAGGTTCATTAAAATATTGCCTCAACACCGTCTTACCTTATTGCTGATTCCTAACAAGATAAGACAGAAAACAATAACAAAATCACTAAAGTTTTCTTTCCCCAACTGGATTCTCCTCTATACTAGCCTTTTTATTATAGAGCTGGAAAGAGGGCTCAACAATTATGAACATGGGCTGCTTTTCCAGAAGACATAGGCTCAGTTCCTTGTACCTCCTACATGGCAGCTCACAACTCTTTGGAACTCTAGTTCTAAGACATTAGGTGCCCTCTTCTGACCTCCACAAGCACCAGACATGGAAGCGGTGCACAGAGATACAATACAGTTATATACATAATGTATAAAAAACAAACTATGTAAAATTAAGATGGTAGTTTTCTTGTCTTTCTATGGGCTTCAAGGATAAGAAAAGTTCATTTACTCCTGTGTCTTAGACCCATAATATGATCACAGAGGCACAAAGATTCAGAACTGCCTAAGAGCTCAATCATTCTACTTCCGCCTAGAAAGGTCCTGCAAGGAAGGCAGGGCGACTTGATATTCCTTAGAACATGATTTTTTTTTAAAAATTAAAATATGATTACATCATTTCTCTCTTTCCCTTTGCTTCCTCCAATTTCTCTTATGTATCCTTCCTTGCTCTTCCAAATGTCTAGCTTAAAAAGTCAACTATGTGTGTATGTGTGTGTGTTTGTTCCTAAATCTATGAATGCAATGTGCTCAGTACCTATCATGTTACTTATATGCATGTTTTCAGGGCTGACCATTTGGTTATGGATAATCAGTTGGTTTGCTCTTCCCTGGAAAGACTCTTATCGCCCATTTTCAGAATTCCTTAGTTGCCTGTAGCTCTTTGTCTAAGGTTGAGGCTTCCTGAGATTTCCCCTTCCACTTCCCTTGTCTACTGATGCCATCCTTATTCGGGTCTTAGTTAAGGATGGTACTTCAACAGTTCACTTCTAAAGCAGGGCTTTGGATTTAAGTATGAATGTTAGATGCTGACCCTTGTCCTATATAGCCAAGGGTACCCTCATTAACATTCAGCTCTCTCTTGGCTTTGCCCCGAATCCATCATACTTAACTGGGTCCCTGCTTCATAAAACCTGGTTTTAAAACGTTTACTTTATTCACCACAAATCATTAAAATGCGGTCCAAGGCAGACTCTGGGGTTGGATCCAAACATCTGGCATCCTAATAGGTAGATATGAGCTGAGTGCTCAGGAATGTCTGGGGCTGAGGATGTGTTCCAAGGAATGGAACACAGAAGTCCACTATAGTTATACCTCGGTATCCTTGAGGTATTGCTTCTAGGTCCCCCATGGATACCCAAATCTGCCTAATTTTAAATGGCATACTATTTGCATACACTTCAAATCAGCTGGAGATGATTTAAATGTAAATGGTATGTAAATAGTTACTACACTGCATCCCTTTGGGAACATTGACAAGAAATACTCTGTATGTTTGCAGTGCATAGGCAACCATCCTGGGCTTGGCTGCACAGCACTTGAATGCCACCAAATGAGGAGCACCGAAAGCAGCAAGAGAGCATGCGGAATGTGGGAGGTTGCAACAGAGTGCCCGAATGTCACTTATTCTAATGAATTGAACACAGTGCCCCACGTGGAGCAGAGTCGCGTTTTGCCACCGGCAGCTTTCTGCACTCCCTCCCCAGTATCCTCACCCCATGGTAAGTTGACTACAGACGTGGAGTCTTCTGATCCAGAAGGACCAGCACCAGGCAACGAAGAAGGCGCTGTGCACCCAACCAGACACTTGTGTACTTGTGACTTTGCAGCTGCCCATAGGCAGCTCTCAGTGGATGTAAATTCTTCTTCTTCTCACAAAAGCTACTTCCTTTACAACCCACTCAAACTAGAAGCTGGAAATTAACCGCCCCCGATGTCACAAGTTGTAATGCTGCTTCTGCGGCACTAAATGCCTCTTCTTCTCGGCTTTCCCTGGTAGAATCTGGAGAAGATGACTTGGTATGGCTTAAACTTTTTCTTTCGAAAGAAAAGCAGATAGCAACATCCAAAGTCACCATTCAGGTATAGTGAATCATTATAGTTTCTCCGTATTCTCAGGGGATATCTCCTAAGACCCACACGGATTACTTAAAGCCTCAGGTCACTCTAAGCCCAGTATATATTTTTTTTCTATGCCTACTTAACCTATAGAAATAGTATTTATAATTTTGCACAACAAGGACTTAACAATGACTCCTCATAGAATAACGTCTTAGAGTAAAAACTATGTGAATGAGGTCACTCACATAATATCTTTGTATGCTCCTCCTTCTGCGATGACTATAGACTGTATAGTCTATATAATGAGATGGAAATGGGTGATACGGACGGACGCTCTTGACACAGTGCTAGCGGATGAATACTGTGATGCTGGGGACTGCTGCTCTGAGAGCTGAGATGCTATCCGTGACTAATGGGTGGGGAGTATCTACAGTGTGAAAACAAAGCTAAGGCACGATTAATACTCACAAATGGTGGGATGGAGTCAAGGCGGAAGAGATCTTACCACGTTGCTTACAACAGTGCACAGCGGAAAACGTAAACAAACTGTTTATTTCTAGGTTTTCCCGTCTAATACTTTGGACCCCGGTTGACCACCCGTAGCTGGCACCATGCACAATGAAACTGTGAACAAGAGGGGTTGCTACATTCTCTCACCCTGTTCTGGGCATTTGTGAACATGACTGGTTGGAAGACTCTACCTTCTCATACTGTCCTTGGGCTTTCTCTTGGAATTAGACTTAGAATTCCTCTCTTCTTCTTTTCATGAAGTGTGAGCTTTTGATCATATCATCTGTTGGATGTGTGAGATGGAGCGCTGGTAATTAATTTACACTGTAGATATAGACACTCAGTTACCTGCTGACTCTCATGCAATACAAGATGGGCACTGAAGAATGGCCCCATCCTCCCTAGAGGCAGCTTGCTCCTACCTAGTCAGCTAATACTCTTTCTCCCTTTCCCATTAGAGCAATTGAATCCGAACATTGGCAACAGGCTTGAAAGAGTCAGGTATAATTGAGATGAGGCAGGAGAAAGGAGAGAAGGGATATTAGGTGAGGAACAGAAATGTTTTAAAAATATACTCAAGAAATCAGTTATAATGGAAATGTTGCTGTACTTCTCTCTCAAATTTCAATTCCCTATTCCTGATCCCAGCGTCTGCAGCACTATTTATAGGCATCCCTTTCCAAATGAGCTGGGGCGGAGGTGGGAGTGGGGGGGCGGATCACTTTCTGTTCCAGGTGGAATAAATCACCAAATTTATTATTATTTAAACTCCCTTAAGCACACCAGAACGCCAAATGCAAAGCTCTGCAAACTGGCAAAGGCTTTTTATGGAGGGCTATAAATATTGTGGAATCTGTCAGGATTTATAAATTCCAAATATATGTAAATGCACATTTCACCGGAAGGGGTCAGATTTACACGGATCATACCTTCACTTGAAATTTACTTTTAAAACATGGTCATTCCGAAAGCTGTCAGCAAGCAGCCATCTGCATAACCATGAACTTGGATGTTATCGTCTTTGTCCTGACAGAACTGTCTTCATCTGTGGTCAGGAATGTGGGGACAAAGGAAGTGGGTCTTGTTGTACACAGTAAAGGGAGTTGTCATACATTCGTGTTGACTCTTGGTGGGAGACCATATTTGTTCACCTTCAGCCTAGGTGTGCAAAGATTCTCAGGTGGGGAAAAGGTACTGGGACAAAATAAAGAGGAGGCGCTTCAGGCTGATTCTGCAGATGTGTCGATAATAACAAACCCTTTCCAAAAATGGTACTGAAGAAATCTGTCTGAAATAAAGGTGATGTCAGCTGGGCGGTGGTGGCACACGCCTTTAATCCCAGCACTCGGGAGGCAGAGACAGGTGGATCTCTGGAAGTTTTCGAGGCCAGCCTGGTCTACAAGAGCTAGTTCTGGGACGGGCACCAAAGCTACAGAAAAACCCTGTCTCGAAAAAAAAAAAAAGGTGATGTCAATACCCCCGACACACACCTCGTTCACTTTACACTTAGGGATTTTACGTGTCCTAGGTGTCCTAGGCAGTCCCTGTCACTCCTCCTTCAGAAAAGAGGGAGTCAAGCATAGGGAAGTGTTACAAACCTGCCCAGGTCACTTAAAGTGTGTAAGAAGCAGAGCCAGAAAGATGCCTGGCTACATGTTCTACACCCAAGCCATTGTGGGTGTCTGTATCAGAGCCTTGTCTTAGAAGCAGTACTGGATGCTCAAGAGAAAATGCCTAAGAATCAAGGAGTTGTTTTAATTTTTAATTTTGAAAAACAGTTTAAGATTTTGTTTAAACCCTCATGAGCAGCTGAGAAATTCTGAAATGGGAAACCTTGCTTAGCTTCACAATAGAAACCTACTCTCACTCATTCAAGCCCCTCTTCAAGTTTGTAGCCCCTGTCTATTTCCTACAGACCTAGTGCCACGGACATTCTTGGAGATCCTCTACTTTATATCATTCTTAGACTTGTAAACATGTGAGGTTTGGAGAACACCCCAAGTCTCTATATTAGTCCTTTCTTAAAGGAGCACAGGAAACCCCGGGTCTCTGTTGTTCTTTGGGAAGAGGCACCCTTTCCCTTGTCCTCAGGTGTGAAGGCCGACGAAACAGGCATCTTCTCTCCGCTTCACACAGACCTAAAGACAAAAGATTCCTTCATTCAACAGTCCCTATTCATCACTTACTATAGGACTGTATTAACGGGGCTGTCTGGGGCTCCTAAGACACAACAGTGAACGGACTCTGACCCTTGCCTTCTGCGGTGCTTCCATGCCAGGCGGAGGAGATGCACTAAGCAAATAAATACACAATCCCGTATAATGCAGTGTGATGGCAGGTACTAAGGGAAAAAGCAACGCCAACAGAGGGAGAGCACCATTGCGAGAGGGATGCTGATTGTAACTTTATACCGAGAGGTCAGAGAAGGTCTGGCTGATAA